ATAATCTATATTTATCCTTATCAAAAATTTAAAACTACACATGATTATTGACTGCTTATGATTTAATATAATATTTAAAATTAAATTATTTTTGTCAATACCGAAAATAACGAGATATTATAATAACTGAGTTTTATTATAATAATAATAAGTAAATATTAAAAAATGTTTTTTTAAACAAAATTAAACCCCATCATCAAATTATAGAAAGCAACATGTAACGAAAACAAGATTCAGATTATGAAGAAGAGGATGATTGCATAAGAAAAGATTTTGATTCTTAATTTCGATCAGATGAATCAAAAAATAGTATAGAAAGCAAGATGGATAAGAAAGAATACTTACAGAAATAGTTTGGATACTTGACATATATTTGGCTGGATTTGGGGATCTGCAAAAACCCTAAAACACAAATTAGCAACAGAAATTGGAAGAACAAGTTTGAAATGATTAACGATGGAGTTTCCATTCATATGGAACCATGAATCATAAAAACAAACACGAAGCAATTCTGAGAAAAATGAATACGAATTCAGATGAAACAATCAGGAACCTAAAAGATATTGAAAACCCACAAGGGAATCGGAATACGAGATCCAAAATGTTTCTGAATCAAAAGAAAGAACACACGGTCGTGAATTAAAAACAAGAAAGACCACGCAATTGTGAATTAAATACCAGATCTAGATCAAAAACCAGAATGTCGTGAATGAAGAACAAGAAACACCACATGATTGTGGATTAAATACGAGATCTAGATCAAAAATCAAAATGTGTCTGAATCAGCGAAGAAAGAACGCATATCTAAATTAAAACATGTAAAAAGAAAGAGGAATTACCAGATCCCCAAATTGAAAATGCTCTCCTTCTGCGCTCTCCTTCAAACCCTTTCTCTTTCTCTCTCTATCTCGAATGACTCAGGTGATAGAAATGAGGAACAAAGAGATGGGCCTTTGTTTTAAACCCAACATCCACAATACATTATTTCTTCTATTTCTATTTTCTTTTAAATTATAAATTCTGCCTTTATTTTTTCAAATTCACATTCCAAAAACCAATGCTTACTTTTGAGTCGGTTTAACAATAAATTGTTTTATTTTTATATTTGTTTCTTAAATTAAAAACAATAAATACAGTGTATATATATATGTATATATATATATATATTTTCACTATCCATCCTTTTAAGTTAAAAAAAATGTTTTTTAGATTTATTTTTAAATGTTTTTATAACTTTCTAAATGTATTTGATTGAAAACTAATTATAAATTATCTCTATTTAATATATATAGAGATCAAAGGTTTTTCATGAGACCCGTAAAACAAATTTATGTTCATTGATCAACTTTATAAGTTAATAATCTAATGGTCTAAAGTTGCACGGTGACAATTTTGTGATTATTGAGAAGTCTCGTAGTAATTTTGTGATTATGGAGGTTCAGATTGGACTTTTTTGTTATCTATCATTTAGGGTAGAAGAAAAATCTATGTACATTTTTATTGGGTTTTTTCCATTATCTATCATTAGACTCTACTAATATATAGGATTGTCTGTATATATTTTGTTTTCATACATGCAGCCACCAAAGGTGATGCTATTTTGATCGTGATAGCCACAACTACAATCTATCATAGATTTTATTGTCTTCTGTTTTTAAGGTGTTTTTTTTTGTTATTATCTTAAGAAAAAGTCGGTTTTTACCATTTCATGATTTTCTCCTTGTCAATGACTTTAATGGCAACGAGGTCTTTGGTTTTGATGTTACGAGCGGTGTAGATTTTGGTAAAATTTTACTCAAACACTTGTGTCAAATATTCCTTTAAATATTGACTATAAGTTTTAAAGACTTTTTTAACTCTGAATTATGTAACTATTGTTGAGTAACATTGATCTAAACCGAGTTATTCGTGCTAATAAATAAATGGTTATGATATTAAAAGTGATTATTGGACAAAAATGATACTCGTTTAACAATAATTTTTAACCGCCGTCAGGGAACGACAAAATCTAAAAGTTTTTGCAAACCACAATTGTTATCTTGTAATTTTGAAACCATAAAGACAAAAAAGCGTTATTTTGACAAACCAAACGACCAAATTTGTAGTTTACTTTATTCCCATTTCAATTTTTTTAAAACGAATTAATTAAAAAATTTATAAATAAATTGTAACTAAAAAAAACATGAAATCCTAATATATTAAAGATTTTTAATGAATTATTATTATGTTTTCGATTTTGGTTTAAAAGTCGGTGGATAATATATATAATATTCTCATCATTTATGCTACTGTATATAAGCGAATAATCGTGTGAAAAGGGAAGTTATGGTGAGTAATGTAAGAAGATATATGAAACACTTGATCATTTTCAATCTCATGTTTATCCATGAATTACGATTTAAAAGAGAATTGATCTCGGTACATCTTATTAGTGTTGTCATTCAATTGGATTGACTCAAGGATAGAGATTGTTTTTTATGTCTTTTCACCATAACTTATTTTCTTATTGAAACCAACCCATTATATATATATAGACTTGGGATCATGTGAGACTAATGGTTTTTCGTGAGACCCCATGTGATTTACGAGAATACGAGAATAATCCAATAACCTCAAATTTTTTTAATTAATAAATTAACTTATATTATATATAAATAATTTAATAAGGACAGTAATGTAATTAAGTAATTTTTATAATTTTTATTTTATTTCAATTTCATAATTATCCCTTTTGTTGACCACGTCTCCACRTTTTCCTCTGGTTAGTTTTCTTATCTAACCTTCTTCTCCAGATCATTCATCCTTCTTCTCCTGATCATTCATGATAGTCGACTTTCTTAATACCTTTTCTTCATATTATAAGTATCCATATTTTTGTCGATCTAGAATGGACGACTTGAAACCCATATCACATGATTATCACACTCATATTACATGATTATCACATCAGCACACAAAAGCGTTTTCGTTGTGATAAATGTGTGATTGTCTAATCCTAACCTATCGAAACCATCCGAAATCGTTGTGATAATGTCTAACCTAACCCATTGAAACCATGATCAAGTCGAATGATATTGATATCACATGATTATCACATCCATATCACACAAAATCGTTTTCGTTGTGATAAATGTGTG